TTTCTTTTCTCTGACACCACTCCTTCTCTCTCTCTCTCCCTCATTGACATACTGTTGGATCAATCTTTTGTGTAAATAAAATAAGTAGAAATAAATTTAAAAAAATAAATAAATAACATACCAGATTTATTTTGTCGAACCAAATAAAAATTACAAAACCAAGTCGAGTGTGTGACACTCTGTCCTTAAGACAGATTCGCCCTGCTAAGGTGCTTACGGTTGAATGGCGTCTATCTCCTAGGATACAATGATCTTCACAAATTTATAGAAGCACTTCAAATAAATTTGTTCGGCGAACCAAACATGTGATAAAAAAAAAAAAGAGAAGGGGAAAAGGAATTTTTTGGGTGGTGGCATGTATGAAATTTTGAGGGGAAAAAGTTGGAGAGATGAAGGTGTGATGAACAAGGCACTTAGGTTTGCTCTCTATGCCTTTAAAGAAATTTTCTCAACCCTTAAACTAGGGGAGGGGGGCGACTATATTTTATGACTTTTTGAGGGAAATATTTGAGATATTGCGTGAAGCTTGTTCAAGAATCCAATTTTCCCGAAAATGCTGTTTCCCGGACAAATCATTCTGCCGGCACACTTTTTAGCCAACCAACAACTTTTCATCTGACCAACCATATTTCATCTTGCCAAATGGAAAATTGTATGACTAGACCAAAATCTGTATGGCCATATTGTTTTGAATGCGAAATAGGGTTTTTCCAGAGAATTGTCCTCCTTCCCACTCATTTCTAACACTTGGATAGTTTGGCCAAAATAGGTGGAAGGTTTAAGATTAAAACTTGAACCCGGTTTCCTACTAAGGCATTAGTAAGATAGCACATTCCCACTTTCATCATCAAGTGTTTGGAAGCAAGCGTCTAAGTCTTAAGGTAGTCAAAATGGGATATCTACACTTGTTGTCCACCTTGGTTCGCTGTCAGACCTTCATTTCTCCATTCTCCTTGTCTTCCTCTTGACTTACCATCAGAGTCCACCCTCCTTGCTGTCCACCTTGCTTCGCTCTCTTCTCCATTGCGACTTCTCTTCCTATGTGCACACTCTGTGTTGTCAATAATTCCTAATTTTAACGTTTCAACCACGTTGTCTTGAAAATTCTTCATATGACTAAACATTCAAAATTAGGAATCCGAGTGACGGTTTTCTCTATTTTTTTTTTTTGAAGGGGGGGTTCTCATTCTATTTTAGTAACACAATATTGTTATTGAAATCAGTGTAATACTACTGGCTAATTTTATTTTCCATTATTTACATTATGGGATGTGATTGCTCTATCAAAAAGGAATATCGTTACAGAAAAATGTTGCTAATTGTCAATTTTTAGTGACATTTAGAAAATCATCACAAATAACATCACTAATTGTTAGAAACAAATTCAAAAAATTGTTACAAAATATATATTTTTGAGCGACGATTTTGATAAGACGACTTTTAGAGATGAATTGATAATAGAAATAAAGTCCAATTATTAAAACCTCCTGGTAATTTACCCTATTCTAAATTTGTCACAAAAAAAATGATAATTAGCGACATTTTTCTATAACAAATTGTTCAAACTGTTGTAAAAAACTAACAATTAGTGATTTTTTTTAAAATAAAATTTCGCTAATTTTTACAAGACCTATTGAAAAATAAGTCTACTTATTAAACCTGCACGTAAATCCTCGTTTTTTTCATAGAGCATTTCACATCCCATAATGTGAACAATGGAAAAAATTAATCTAGCAGTATTACACTGATTATCAATATTACTGCTTTACTAAAATAAGAATGAGACCAAAAAAAAAAAATTTGTTACGCGGTTTCCTAATCTTGAATGTTTGGTCATCTGAGGAACTTTCACACAACGTGTTTGAACCGTTAAGGCACCGTTTGGGAAGAGTTAAAGTAGGCTTTTTTGGCTATTTTAGCCACAAAAGACAAAATAAGCTATTTTAGACACAAAAACAAAATATCACATCCAACCCATAATCATTATACTATTCTCTCACAAAAAAAGTCAAAAAAAATCAAAAAGTCAAAAAGTCCTTCCTAAACCAAACTTTTTAGCCCAGGCTAAAATAGCCAAAAAAGTCAAAAAGTCAAAAAACCAACCACTTCCCAAACCAACCCTAAAACTACAACACAGAATGTGAACATAGGAAAAGAGACAATATGGAAAATATGGGCATTGAAATTTCAACTTTGATCATCTCAATTTCACCTATAATGATTATAATACAAAATGCATATATATAATATATATATATATTTGCAATTATAAATATAAATTTCCTTTGACATTTAAAAGAGTAACAGAAAAATAAAGCACCAAAAGCTAGCTAATAGAGTCCAGATTCTCTCCAGCCACTCCCTTCGACTGTTCCTACAAGGGCAGTTCAGATAGAGCCTCGACACCCGCAAGGAAATGAATGGCTAATATATTATTTATTTTAAAATTTTAAAACACCCCAATTGAATTATTTTCTTTTCTCTGAACCCTCTCTCTCTCTCTCCCTCACTGCACGCACACGTCACGGGTCACATCCCACTCTCTTCCTTCTCATTTCTAATAAATAATTAAAATAAAAATATATTCTTTTTTATTTATTTCTATATATTATATATATATATATTATATTATTTTAATATAAAATTTTAATTATATAAATTAATATCATTGAAAATATACCTTAAAATGGGACAATTTAATATATTATATATATTATAAAATTTAAAATAATAAGTAATTACGATTGTTAGTTAATTTTCAAATTATTATTTTAAATTAAAAAATTAATTTGATGAATAAACCAACAAAATCATATTTTCTTCAAATTCTCAAAAATAATTCTTCATATCAAAAGTATATATATATAATAGTGACTTTTATATTAATTTCATTAATCAAACGAGTTTATAATTTTTTAAAGGAAATAAAAAAATTCTATATTTGATTTACACCTATGCATAGATTTATTTTGTGTTTTTAAGAAAATAAAATATTACATCTATGCACAAAAATCATATTTTCATATATGGTTTTAGAATGTTGATTTCAATTAATATATGATTGTGTGTTTTTATCAAAATAATTTTTATTTTTAAAAATAATACTTTGAAAGCATAACTAAACATAGTAATTAGTTTTTATTATTTTAAATTTTTATTAAATATATTTAATATTAATCTTATTTTAAAAGTATATTTTAACTGATATTAATTTTATAAAAATTATAATTTTATATTAGAAATTATATATATTATGAAAAATAAATGAAAAAGATTAAAATAATTGTTTTATTTTTTAATAGAAATGTATAGATAGATAAGAGAGAGAGAGATAGTGAATGCTGCGAGTGTCTCGGTGAGAAAAGGACGGAGAGAGAGTGTGTGCGCTATGAGTGTGTGTCAATAGGTGTATATATATATAATTTATTTTTTTATTTTTTTAAAGAAGCAAATCTGAATTGTTTATTTCTTTCTGGCTGATATGGCTCTATCTGAGGCGTCCGGATCCTCTAGAGTCATCCTCTAGAGTGATCCTCTAGAGTGGTCCCTTAGAGTGCAACGCGTGTCCCATTAACGCATCCAACGGCTGAGATGATCCCTCACCAAAAGGGCGTCGTTTTGGTGAGCCAGACCCCAAAAAAAAAAAAAAAAAAAAAAAAAAAAAAAAAAAAATTTGCAGAGCTGCAGATCGAGTCAAGAGGGAAGAGGAAGAAGAAGAAAATCTATTTATCTCAGGCTTAGAAATATATATATATATTATATCGGAGAGAGAGAGAGAGAGAGAGTAGGAAAAGATGGGTCAGGGACTTAGTTGCACGGCGAGCCACGAACATGAGCTCTTCACTGCTGTTCAGTTCGGGGACTTGGAAACTGTTGAGACTCTCTTGGAGAGAGACCTAACTCTCATCCACCAAACCACAGTTTACGATTCTCTTCACATAGCAGCTGCCAACGGGCC